ATAATAATTTGAGAACACTAATTACTATTAGTATGTTCTCATGAGAACAGCAATTAGACCTGAAATTTCGAACACTGCCTGCATCCATTGGTTGTATCATTGAGGTTGTATTTGCAGAGAGAAAGTGAACATCAACATAGCAAAAGGTCAACCCATCTAACTTATAGCTGGAGCATTGATCAAGAAGTAAAAGAACACGCTGGCTATTATATTTTTGAAACATTTGGAGATCAAACTCCTGGAGCCACTCTTGAAATAAAACTGTAAGCATCTAAGCTTTAGCATTATTTCGATATGTCATTACCAAATTCCGAATATTTACATTTTTAAAACACCAGGGGTTGGCATACTTGCCAATTACAAGAGGGTTCAGTTTGTGGGATCTATTAGCATTAGCGCATAAAGCTATAGAGAGGTGCTCTTTATTTTTTTACGTCCTGCAAGGCGTCGTGTTGCTAACGTCTTATCTGGCTCCAACCTAATACAATAAATTGGGTATTAAATAAAAAAAAAAGTATGTATACTACATAAGTATCACAAAATGAAAAAGACAGAAAAATCTTAAAAGATTTTCCTATTTTTTTTTTTATTTTGTGATACTCAAATCATAATAATCCAAAATTTACTGGTAAAAGAGACCCGTCTTATCCATATTATAAATTTGGTTGAGAGGGTACCAAGCACACAGGTTATTCAATAACGGCAAGGATCAGGCAATTATATTCAAGTCGACAAAATCTGCTTCTCCATGAAGCTTTTGTTGACAGACTTCATTTCTTTCCTTGAATTTTTGAAGCCACCCGGGAGAGAACTACAACTTATCCTCAGGGACTCCAAGTTCGTTTGCTAGCATTTTAGCTTTCTCGATTAACAAAGCATCGCTTAAGATGGTCTGATGCTGATATATTAAAATAAATTCTTTTAGGGCAAGCTCAAGCTCTGGTATCGCAACAGGTTTGTGTTATTTGGTGTCAGGGTTTAAAACTTCATCAGCAAGTCGTTTTTCCTTGGCTTGAAGGATCTGAGTAATTGTAGATTTATTAACTTTGACCCCCATTTATTTTCAATCCATTTAACATATTCAGGCCTGGTCTTTTTATTGTCTCTAGCATAAACACAAAACTCATATTTTTGTGAGTTTGTTAAAGTAACCTTTTTTTTGGTCATTATTAACGTTGTATTAAAGACTTTGTCTAAATAAAGAAAATGGTATTAGTATTCGTATTCAATTAAAGTTGATTACTTGATTACAAGTCACATCACTACTACTAGAGTGATAGTAAAAATGTACAAGGCAGTATTCTGTAAATACCCTAGGAACATTATCTCTAATGCTTACCTTATTAATTTTTTAGATGAAAAAAAAGAAAAAAAAAAAAAATCAAAAAAAAAAACCGAAGTGGGAGAGATCTTTTTTTAAAAACATATCACTAAAGTATCCTTATATGCTTTGTACTCTCAAACCATTATTGTAAAAAAAAAAAAGAAAAAAAAGTTCCCACAAAAAAAAAAGGAAAAGTTTTCACAAAAAAAAAAAAAAGGGAAAAAGTTCCCAAAAAAAAAAAAAAAAAAAAATCCTCCACGTATTCAAGCAGCCACCAAAATGAACACTTCATAATGTCAATTTGCTTGATCAACGACAATGCACACACACAAGAGAAGAACGTACAGACTGCTTAATAATAAATGTGGGTTAGTTAATGTTAAACGCACTAATTATTACATTGTCATATCACTCACTTTACTTCTTTTGCCTTTCTCACCACAACACCTAATTCCTCTACTATAACGACTTCCACCTTACTCAAGGCAACTCGACGTTAATTCTTAGATACTGGTGTTCAAGAACAGTTAGAAGTGGAAGTTCGATCTTACAAATCGAGCCTCTTTTATATTAACTCTAACCTTGAAATTTGATTGGGCAGAATTATCGTAAGATTTTTTTTGTGCGTGTTCAAAATAAGATCGTTTTTTATTGGATAAAAATCACGTGATGATGCATTTATGAAGGGATTTAAATAATAAATATTTTAAAAAACATTGCACGTGCAGAATATAGAGGGTGTGCATTTACAATATAGTCCCGACTTGGGACCAAATATTAGGGTTCAATTAGGGAAGGTGTGCATTTATAGAGCGTGCATTTATGGAGTTGTGACTGTATATAGTTGAACGATATAATATATCATTTCAACGCCAAACTTTTCATCAATATTTGCTGGTATTTTATACTTATACATTGTTTCCCTAAGATACTAGCATTCCACTTCAACGTTGCATCTTCGACCAATGTAAATAGAAATATGCAATGTATATTCATTGGATAAAAAAAGAACTTTAATTCTTTTTTTTTGAACAATTTATGGTTTTCTTCCTTATTTAATGCCAATTAGACAGATTGGACATATATGAAACTTGTATAAATTGGACATTTGGACATTCAGACTAAAAAAAATAGCACTGCTATCCCTGTTTGATGCCAGATTTTAGATGTTTTGGCATAAAAAGTTTGCATAAAATAAATGAATGCTCAATAATGCTCAATAAGTATTTAATTCGGTATGAAACATACAAAGAATTATACACAGATCAATCTGAAGCATGAATGATAAACCAGTTTAACGCATTTCAGAATCAAATCTGACATGCGATTAGGATACGATGATTAGTTATTCGTGGCAAAATTTGAATGTTCATATTTAATAAATCTGAGTTAGGAAGCTTCTTCTCCCATAAATCAAATGAAGTTGATTTGGAAGTTGCCTAGTTTAGAATATTAAACGAAGAGATGTTAAAGAGTGTACAGTAATTGAAGTGATAAACGAGAACTAATATTGCATACGAAATTGAATTTGAAATCTCGCTTAAGACAGAATTTTAATAATTAACTTAATATAGTCATAAACTATTAATTAATTCAATATTAAATGTAACAGAGATAAAATCACATGATAAAACGCGTTATAAATTTATCATAATTGGTTTAAGTTGACGAAAAAAATTGCAGTATTTCCATTTTGTCAAAGAAATTCTAGATATCTAAAGAAAGGTACAAAAATGTAAGCCGTTCTAATATATAGTAATATATAGCTATATTTAGAAATTCTTAAACTTGAATCACGAAATACGTACTATTCATGACTTACTGTATGCAGTAATAAAGTGTTTCTGATCGGTACTGTTACTTTATATGACTTTAGAAGTGCCAATACAAAATTTTAAAACAAGGAATTTGGGATTTATTAACGCGCCACTGAAATGAGTTGAACCGTGGCGCGTATTGTTTAGAATGTTTTCACCCAAGTGATAGCTTTCTTTCGAAATGATTTCCTATGTGATATGCTGTTATTTATCTGTCAACTAATTGTCACAATTTTACAATACTTTGTTTCCAAAATAAATAATCTCGGCCGAAACTTGTACCATAATAGAATCTTTGGAAAGATGCGCATATATTGAATGTGTGTTAACTTGCACAGTGTATCATGTATGTACGTACGTACGTACGTACATTGCAGTACTCTTTGCTTTATCTTTCAGCCATAAACCCTTTTTAAACCGGGTAATAAACATATTTATTATTTTACTTTGTGGGAAGATATATCGATATGTGATGTTGATTCTATAATATATATGTTAATATTGTTATAAAGACTTTATTTCTAAATGGTATGTAATCTTCAACGTTCGTTCCTTCGAAATGAACTTAATCCAAAAGTATTCCGCGTAATTAAACAAAAAGGGTTCGTGTAACCAATTCGCGCTAAACATTAGATTAGAGTTGTGTAACATCAATCATATCATCGAAATCAAATTAGTGTAACATAATATTCAAATTGAAGTATTCTTAGGTACGTACGTACAGTACGTACGTACGTACGTAGAATATTTATAACATCATTTCTACATTGAATTCTATAAATAGTCCCTTTATATAGAAAAACGAATAAGTCCATTGAATTACATTCTAGTAGAATTTTTTTTTTTTTTTTTTAAAGAAAAAAACTATAATAGTCAAAATCAATATCTTGATTTTAAAAATTAAAAATAAAATCAACCTATTATTATTATTTTTGAAATACAAATTAAAAAAAGACAAAGGTTTATGCACTTTAATAATTCTCGAAAATAACTATGAACTCCCAACCTGATCTCATGATCTTTTCGGCCGAATTATTACATCTTATACATACAAAAAATGAAAACAAACCTAATTAAAATTTGTGAATTTTTGCGCAAATATGGCTTTTTTCAGCGGTACTGTATTGTATAAATAAATTTGGAGGGTGTACTATAAGAATCACTTAATATAGTTACGTAGAAAGTACTATTTTAGTTTAGTGACTTATATTTCTAGTTAGTAGTATTGCAGTATTGACGACTAAACCAATCTAAGGTTTTCTACCTTACTAAGTTAAGCGGTTGTTATAGTACACCCTCCAAATTTATTTATACAATACAGCACCGCTGAAGAAAGCCTATAATTATTAGACAAAATTAGATAAATTGTCATTGTTTGTTGTTACTGAAGTGATGTAGTTGTTTGATGTCACTGAAGTAATGTCGTTGTTTGATGTTACCGAAGTAATAATGATTATTTATAAAGTGACAAAAAAAAAAATCAGAACGTGAGTGCTAAAGCACTTCAGGAGAACGAATACTTCGCGAATGATATAAAATGGTGGCGCGTAAATTCGTGATATAATAAAATGACGCGCATGCATTTATTAATGAATTATCTTATATCATGTGCAACATTTAAACGTAACGTATCCTTTGTTCGGCCGAACCCGTCAAATTGGTCATTGAACACAACCGATTTACACTTCGGCCGAAATTCGTGCACCAAATGAATTAGGAAATCTTTTTGAAAAAGAAGGCTGAAAATTGCTTTTCCGGTAAATCTGCTTTGTCATTAAAATTCTAACGGTTGCATTTTCATTAAAAGCTACGTTTCAACAAAATGAACCGTGAAAATATTTACTTGATAAAAATATGTATAATTTTTTATAAATTTAATCAATTAAAGAATTTGTGCAAGATTAAGAATTAGCAGGGCTGCCTCCAAAATTCTGCTCACATAATTCGCACCACTGTAATAATTAGAGTTGGCGATTTTAAAATCAATGTTTAAATCAGTTTAAAAGATTTTTTTTTTTTTAAAATATTAAGTGACTTTATCTTTATATGTATAAAACGATTGCGTATTTTTGTAAAGATTAGAATATCTTACATAAGAAATAAATGTCAACAACGTTGAAACTAAAATTAACCGATCAGATATCATTATATTATGTAAGATTTTTTATACGTACAGTAGTACACAGATAGATCTATCAGACTCGTTTAAAATTTGAGCTACGGTATTTAGTTTACCGAATAGGTTTCATTCAATCATAAGTTAAACCACTTTCACACAATCATTATCTTTTAATTTCTGCTTATTTTTCCTTTTGTTGCTGTCACGTTATAGGCATATGCTTTATTCATGTTACATAGTTTATTATAAATCCTATACTTCTTTAAATATTATATTAAGTTTTATCCAATGCTTTACTACGTACGTAAAATCAGCCTATACGTAAAAAAAATTAATAATTTTATGCATTTTTGCAATTTATGGTTATATCAATTTGTATTTTATAAGTTATACGTAGTTATTGCATAAATATGTGTATACGTATAACTCCCTGTATACTTTATCCCTTAAACCGTTTAAAATTTAGTACAAATTTGGTCTGAATCTTACTACGTATAAAAATACTTCTGATATATTTTTTTAAAAATTTAACATATTTAAACAAAAATTTTTTTGATAATATTTAAAAATAAAGATTATATTTTGTAAAATTTATATTTAAATTATAAAACAAAAAATTTAACTTGTTTATAAGCTAAAACTATACAAATTTTAAAAAAAATTTTAATTAAAAAAATAATTTATAATTTTTTAACAAATTTTTTAAATATTAATTTTCAATTTATAGTTTTTTAATAGAAATTATAGTTTAAATAAAGAATTATAATTATTATTAGGAAATTTATAAATTTACTTGT